GCACCAGCCGCATCAGAGTGTACCTGAAAATCTGTCCTGAGCAGCATTTCAGATCTCCAAAATGAAATACCATTGAATTGTTCCAAAAAGGACTCCCAAACCTTCAAGTCCTCATGAATCCCCTTGGTGATCTTTATATGATGATGTGGAGCAGATACCTCTTTGGTGGCCCTATACAATCATGCGCAGAATGCTCGTCCCGAAACTATTACCTTACAACCTGAAGGGATTGAAAATCATGAAGTGTGGCTTTATGCTTCCCCATCATTGACCTAACCTGCTCTCTCATAGCCACGAGTTTGTCATTTGGTAAACGAGAATTCCTGGCAATGGTATCCATCTCGATTCCCCAAAAGGTAAGCCGTGTGTCAGGACCCTCTGTTTTTTCCTCAGCTAAAGGGACTCCCAGCTCTGACATTAAATCCTGAAAGGCAGCTAAAGTGTCACTACATTTTGATGAAATAGGATTTCCAGCAATCAAGAAGTCATCCAAATAATGGGTGATTGCTGTATTACAGCACACCAATGAAGAAAGGTGCTAAACATCTCAAAAGTTGAACAAGAGATTGAGCACCCCATTGGCATGGCTTTATCAAAAGAATACTTTCCTTCGAACTGAAAACCTAAGAGGTCAAAGTCAGGGTGTACAGAGAGCAACCTGAAGGCTGATTTTATGTCACACTTCGCTAATAGTGCTCCCTTACCTAAGGGAGTCCCTTACCCTTTACTGCTGAGTCAAAAGAGGCATACTTAACAGATGTAAGCTTAGGATCTATGGGATCATTAACAGAATCACCCTTCAGGTAAGATAGATTATGAATTAACCTAAATTTCCCAGGGGCTTTCTTGGGGACAACACCCAAAGGGGATAAATGAAGGGTGGGAATTGGCTGTTGATCATGAGGTCCTGAAATCCTCCCAGCTGCAACCTCTTTTGTCAGCTTGTCCTTTATGATAGCTGACAAATCCTTCACAGAACGAGCATTGGGCACATAACAGTACAGCCTAGGACCTGAATAAGGGATGTGAAAACCCTTAGAAAAACCATGGAATATATAAGAGGCAGCCTCCCTGCTGGGGTAGGTCCGCAGCCATGTCACCAGTGCATCCAATTGAATTGGTGACAGAGCTTTTTCCTCCTGGTGATGATGGCTGGGATGTACCTCCCACTCCTGACCGCTTACTTCTACTACAGGAAGTGCCGGGGTGATTCCTCAGCAGGTGTTACACTTATGTTCAAACCTGCAGGGTTGTCTCCTACATTTACCTGTGTTGAAGTCCCAGCAAAGGCCATATTGTTTCCTTTCTCCCATGCCAGGCCTCATATTCTGCTCTCTGGGTTGTGTAACCATGGGGATGAACCCATTATCACACCGGCTCAAAGGGGAGGCCCCTACCATTACATCTGCCCACAGCTCGGAGTGTACATGTCTCCAGGACAGAGAGCAGTCTTGGGCAACCCTCATTTGAAACTGCTCATCATACTGCAACCATGCTGCACCCTGAGAATTGTGATGGCAGTCAGTATAAGCTTTTATCATGATCTCCTGATATTTAGAGAAATCAGGAGACCTACGAGGTTCTTTTTCTTCAATAACTTCCTTGTAAATAGTGAAGCCCATAATCCAATTAACAAAATTGTGCTCCAGCTTAGGGTGTTTGAGCTCCTGAAACTCTTTTGGGATGCTAAACACTATCCCATCCTTTACCAAGATCCTTGGTTCAGGATCCCTAAAAGTAAGAGAAAATAAATCAATGTAATTCCCCTTCCAAATTCTTTCTTTGGTGGTAAGTGGAAGGTGTGAACCAAGAGGAGTGGACATTCCACTGTATGGATTGCATTCCATAGTTCCATTGACTCCCAAAAGCCCGGAAGCACCCAAAGAAGACACCCTTAAGGTGTCACTTCCGAAGAAGCTGCTGGCTGACCAGCCTGCACCCTCATGTTAGGCACCTGGGAAACTTAAGGTGCCATCGCGGGTGCTCCCAATGGTACAGAGATGGGACGTTCTACCCCCAAACCCTGACCAACTTGGCCACCTGAAGCCCATACCAAGGTGGGCCAAGTCACCTGAGAACGATTAGAAGGAGACAAACCTGATGTTGAGACTTGCTGGAATGCATCACCAGGTGACTGCATAGGTTCCCCCGAAGTGTGGCCCTGCAACAGCTCAGGTGTCAGGCTGAGATGCAGCGGCAGCTGCCTGTTCTCTTCTTCCCACCTTGGTTTGATCCATTGCACCACCACCTGGAAGAACCACTCCTTGCAGGAGGTAATATATATATCTACCACAGTAAGCTGATCGGACACAGGGGCAGCAGCATCCTGAATCCCCACACCAGGAACCTTTTGTAATAGTTCCCACATATCGGCTATAGTTGGTTGCCCAAATTCCATAGCTGCAGCCACCGCAGGACCACATGTTGTGTCCGCTACCTGAGACTCAGGTGCAGATTGAGGGGACAGCACTTCTGTGTCATGAATAGCAGAAGTGCTGGGAGAGGGGCTGGCAGTTGTAGCCTGAAGCCCCCTCTGGGCAAGCTGATTGCAGACTGTGACACAGACATGCATCATCTTGCCCAGTTGTGCTAACTATGTTACAATCTCATCATGCCTGCTGGCCATGTGTGAGGGCCTTTTTGGAGCAGAGTGACCAGAGCCTGATGCAGCTGGGTGTCAGATTCAGCATGCCCACCAGTCTTCTTTCAGACATAAAGACAGCTCCCAGA